CTGATGCACACTACATCGGCGACCCTGGTAAGACATTTATAGGTCACCTACATATTTAAAAGTTACGAGTACCTTAGTATATTGTATTAGTATATTTGCAACCAAGTACAAGCCATACCTCAAAAAAAAACCGACAAAGCGGAACAACCCATCACGCTAGGTGGCACCACATATTCATTACATTAAAGCTAATTCTAATCGCAACCTTGGAATATGAACGTTCTTGCATGGCTGGTATGGATTCCGGAACATAACTGATGCCCGCTGAACTTTGAAAACTGCAATGTTTTTCGTCATGGAGATCCATTGGCTGTCCAATTCATTGGAGCAACGTTCTACGGGTAGATGCTCTCTCCCGCTCTCCACATAAAGGCGTGATTTTCGACAACTAGAGACAGTTCACAAAGCTATGATTACAAATTCGGTTGTCAAAGAGAAAGAAAGTTTGAATACCGGATTTTGGAATCCAAGGAGCCTGGGCGAGGTCAAGGAGGGACGATATGTGTAGTTACGCGATAACACATTGACTGTGAGCATTCTTATTCGGAGAGTAGAAACAATCGATAGATTAGGATGCAGTAAAAAGGTGAAATGATATTGCCTAGCTGAGAAGGCAAAAAGTCCCCCTACTGACGGAATCCTAGAATCCAAGTGGAGAAGTTCCCGCCGCCAGCTTAGCGACAGATGTACAGCGTGAATTTGAACGAGTAGCACATTTCTTAGTTTTTCGGGTTGCCTACCAGAACAAGAGCTATTTTTCGTTCCTTCTGTTTTATCGTGGAGAATGGATAAGAAACCATTTCCATTTATGAAAGTCATCAAATCATGGAGAGAAGACAGAACTTCATCACAACTGCAGTGAATGCAGGCCAGTTGTAGTCCACTGGGTGTACTCCAAGAGGCCCATCACGCGGCGAAGGAAGAGACGCAGATGCGGCAAAGGACGAGTCGCAGCGCGTGCTGTCCGATATGAACCTTAACCTGACGCCTAACCGCTACAGTATGCGCTGCGACTCGTCCTTTGCCGCGTCTGCGTCTCTTCCTTCGCCGCGCGGCGGGCCTCTTGGAGGACACCCTAGCCTAGTACTATGAGGGTTTCTGACGCAACATCTGCAAATTATTTACCTCTTCGCTTTTTTTATTACTTAAATCGTGCACTAGTATCGCACCAGCAGCACCGTCAAGGAAAACCACAGAAGCGGCACGGTGAGCTCCCGATCCACCGATATCCCATAACTCCATCAATTCTGATCGTTGCTCCGATGTACCTGAAATTGTGAAAGAGCAACGTGAGTAAAAAAACGAGCAAAGAAGAAGGGAAAATAATAAAAATAGAAATGGAAACGATAAGGACCCTGCTTGCCTAAACAGCGTTAAAAAAAGCTTTAAGTCAGGATGTTATTACGAACATACGATTATGAAGGCGTATTAGCATGAGACACCAAATCACCCTTTCAAATCCACCCGTCAACAGCATTTTCAGGGGTTGGCTTTAGCTCATTAGCATAAAGGAATGATTACTACAATGCAAACTATGAGGATAGATTTTACTGTCAAGACTGGAATTAACAATAAAGTCACTCAAAATAAGGAGATGTCGCCACAGGAACCCCATACATACAAGTGAATGGGTCGTTAGCACTTGTGTGCTCTCAGGAACATGCATCCTATTCCGAAAACATAACGGATCTCAACTGGTTTGTACGTACGTATCTCTTGAAATGAAACAAATTTTACTTCAGGACCATGAAATAACAGACCTGCTTTATACTCATGCCAAACCATCGCTATTGAGGCGCCAATTGTACTCGAAGAGTCGGCACTGGGGCTGAATTGTAAGAGTATAAGACACTGACAAAGAGGTGGTTGCTCACAGAGGGAAGGGGCGTACAGGGCAAGCCTTGCCTGTTTAAAACGATCTTTACATAGTGCATACATGAAAAACAACAAAAAACCGCGCTTCGTTTGCCTGAAGAGGTGAGAAATCAGTTCAACGGTCAATTCCCCGTAGCAACCAATTTTCCTATTTCATGTGAGCATTCATATTGGTGCTAAATAGGGGCAACGTCAGCGGACGTCATCCACGCATCAGGACCATGAGCAACTACCATAAGCAGGGTGAATAACGGTCGAGGAAATCCTCGACAGGGGGTCGTATTGCTCCGATGAGAGTTGGGAGGGGGTCGTAATCAAAAGGTTCATCAACGGACACAACGGTGCTGCTGCCACTTATTTGCTGTCATCATTAGTTTCACAAGTGTTGTAGTTAGCCTAATGCAAATAATATCTTACAACTGTCTGGAATTAAAATTTAAATGGAGTGGTTGTAGGTTTGGCTCGTAGTGGCATAGGAAGGCCCTGCAAAAGAATCGTAGGGAAAGGGCAGCGAGTATCTACTCTAGAATGATGTACACTGCTTCGAGAACTTAGTGGAGGAACAGCATCTTGGTAGAAAGTTCAAAACAGGCAGATTCGCAGCCTTCTTGGCATCATCAGATCCTGCAACCGCAAGCTGTCATTCATCAGAACGGGTTGGAAAGGAAAAGGAAGCGATTTGAATAAAGGAATGATCAGACATCACTATGACCACAAGAGTTATCCTAATTAGTTAATACTGGAAATATCTTTTGGTGTGCTTAAGCAAGTCGTCACTAGGACAAAACACCTTCCCAATGACTCCGAGTGGGGTCACTGCATGGCGCATACAAGAACGGAATGGATCTGCGCCAAGTGCATCATTTTCAATTTACTCCATCGAACTGACGTGTACAGAAGCATTTTGAAGGTGTTCAAAGAAGTTCCCTACTACGGCGAGGGAGTAATAGAGTTTTCGAGTGGCTTCGAAAATTTCCTTGACATTTCCTCGACGCAGATTTCTCGCGAACTAGAAAGCGTTCGAAACAACTGGAGCACCTATCAGAAAGCGTAAATCTTCTACTTTACAACGCTTTCCTCCGATTTTCAAAGCATTGCCAATGAAGACAGCTACTGTCTTCCAAAGAGTGGGAACTCGCATGTAAATTTCAATTTCCTCGACAATTCCTCGACGTCTCCCACTCTCGAGAATAGGCGTGCTTAGAAAAACGCTCAGCACAATTTAGAAACTAGAAGTCTTGTGCATTCAAAAGCTGCCTTCACTTTCTGAAATGGTTATCAATGAAGAAAGTTATAGTCCTTTAAATAGGGGGTACATTTGACGATTTTTCCAACTAGCGCGCTCTAGGCACAGCGCGCGACGCGATCGCGGGTAGTTAGCGCCGCTATACTGGAGCGCGAGACTGTTCAACTGTGTAGGGGCAGTACCTCCTTCAATGTTCTACTTTCCGGCCAATGTGGCAAAGGTTAAATGTCTTTAAAGGAGAACCTAATCTGAGCAGAATTGAATCTAGCATTTGGATCAAGCCGCATTTGCGTGGCAGCGGCGCTGCGTCCCTCTCGCACATCTGAAACTAGCATTTTTTGATATGAAACCGGATGTGCAGAGGACAAAAAGGGGTCGTATCAGAGTCCATGTTTTGGAGGGGGGTCGTAAAGAGGCGGTTATTTCCTCGACACGATTTTCACCCTGACCATAAGTATGCTTCTCGCGAAAGCTAGTAGAGACAAACTGTAGTGCCAAAGCGACTCCCTGGTGGCTCCAAATGGTATCGGAGCTGAAAAAAGAATGTCATTGTTCGTGATCAGAGGACAACATAGCTTTATAGCTAAGGTTTCAGAAAAATCAGAAATTTGACCTAGCTCAGAAAGGCGAAGGTATGACTGCGGAAACTTGTAGGCGAAGACTTGCTCACCCTCCTCAGCGAATGTGGAAATACTGCCTCGGAAGAGACAAGAGCAGTTTTCCAAGCCGGTGATGGTAGAGAGATTATAGTGGCAAAGCCGCTACGCTCTCCTCTTCTTCGGGAAGTGATGCTTAGGGTTCTCGGCCCCGTCACTGTCTGGGCTTTTCTCGTCGGTAGTGGGGTCAATTTCAAGAAACCCGAAGTGGTATCATATGCGCTCTACGAAAGGGATTCACTTATCGTGCATACCACCAGATATTCCTCCAATTTTCCCTGAGCTCAACACCAAGTCATCCAAAAACATGTGGTGGGCAAACATATAGCCCGCCCGACTTTCCGAGGACTGATTTTCAATACAAAGCCCTCGATTTTTTTTCCAAAACTTTGATTGTAGGGATTAATCCGTGCTCAGACCACCGGTTCATTTTCGTTTTCTTTCCGTTTCCAAGAACATATGTGTAGGGTAATAGGAATATTTTAGGTAGTTGGATGAAGGCCGGGAGAGAAGAGCAGAAAGAGAATAGTGATCTTCTTCCATTATAATAAAAATGTAGATATGTAAATACATTGTATTTGGTTACTATACTTATTTTTGTCACTTATCTATGTATCTACTTATCTATGTTCACTTAGCCTTTGCCTAGCCGATCTCTGTTATACCGTATCTCATTTCATAACCCACTATCGTTGTACTTAATCTCCCCTTTTTTCGAAATCCTTGTGAATCTCATGATATCCACGTGGGCACCACTATATAAGGCTTTAGGCCCCGCCCCTTTGTTCTTTCTACTCTGTTGCGATCTGTCGAGCGGTTAGCTCGTAGTCAATAAAGTTTCCAGGTACAAGCTGTTTGACACCCCTAGACGACAGACAAGCAAGACCGGACCCGACATAGGGGCCGAACCGAAGGAAACGACTGGAGCAGCCGCCAAAAGCCGGGAAACCGGAAGGCGAGATCCCTGCCATAATAAAAGGCAGTGAGCAGCACTTCGAGGAAAGGAGGTGCGTACCGTGAGTACGGTATCCTCCATCTCCTCGCGAGTGTGAAGACCTGTCTCGAGGGGAATCTCGAGCAGATCGCTGTCATATCGATTGATTTCAATCGACAGCAGAGAAACGGTGCAAGATTTCGCAACGCTCATCTGCACAAAAATTAAAACAGATTAGGAGCTTCGAAAATATTGACCGGAGAAACCAGATGCTTGGCCTGCTCGCAGCATTTCGAGCGGTATTATGCTTATCTGTGATCCAGTGTCTAGGAGCGCTGCTCGTGTAAGTCCTAGTAACTTCACAGTAGCCGTAGTTCGCTCCCCTACTAGACCTTCACATTTCGAAGACGCTTTATGCTCTAGATCTAGCCGTTTTCCGAAGGGTCGCAGTGAAAACGCGCGGTTCGTCTGGTGGGGCATCCTTGGTTGTTTTTGGGCCCATTTTCGACTTAGGCCCTTGCCCATTAGTTTTCGTTGCAATCCCGTGGAAAATGGCCGTACTCATTGCATTTGTTACATTTTGGCACCCGTCTTTGGCTCATTTGCAACCCTTAATACCTCTTTATTCCTGTGGCTCGTGGCGCAGGTAGACTCTCTCTTTGTCTTAACTGTGGACGATTTTTCTCCTCAGTTTTACGTTCTTCCGGAATAGAACGACGCAGCTTGGAGGCATCCAGCGTCTTTTTAGTTGCGGTCGCGAGTGCTCTGCTACGCTCACACCTCTTTGCGCCATTGTTTTGACCATTTCGTACGCCTGCTGTTTTGGTGCTACTTCCATGGTCGTGTACAGCTGAAGATATTCTGGCCAATTCGATAACTGAGCGACCAGTTCCGAGGCCCGTGTACGCGACAGCTCCTGTTCAGAAGCTTCAGGGTAAGCTCTTTGCGTGAGTTTTTCTAATTCTACGCAATAGCTTGTCACGTCCCCCTCCATGCGTAACGTCTTCAGCTTCATGTAGGCGTTCATTTGTGTTGAGGACTCATTCTCTTTGAATTTGTCCTTCCAGAGCCTCGACTATGGCCTTTTCAAAAACCTGCTGCTCTAATAGACCTGGGTAGCGCCTCTGCCACGGACCGAGGGAACCCATCCAGTTTTGAAAGTAACAAATGCACCAGCATGTCGTCATCTAATCTCAGCCCTTGGTACTTCAACCTAAATTGGGCGAGAAAATCCCCGAACTCCCTTCCATTCGGGTCATTATATGTATTTTAAAAAAAAAAATTTTCCACAACGTCGGGCAGGGTCAACGAGGCGACATACGAGCTATTTCAACCCCTTGTATTGAACCCAACGGAAATTGATTACACTCATCTTGGAGCCTGGCAGTCTGTGCCGTCTGTATCCAAGGAGATTCCCTTTGCCTCGGCGGCGGCTTGTTCATCTTTTCCGAGCTGAAATATTTCATTTTGTTCGGTGGACGGCTCCTTGCCTAAGCCTCGAATTCGAGTTTGTGTGTCACGCTCATGCTCACCCTGTGCGGCAGCAATAGGGTCGAACGTGGCGAGATAGTCTGTATTAAACTCGAAGCGGTTGAGCTGCTCGATTACCGCGGGGTTCGAGACCGCGGTGGACGACGCTGCCGGCTGTGGTGGATTCTGAATGGATTCAAATTGAGTAAGTGGTGACACTGCTTTACTATGTGTTGATTTTGGTGAATCTTTTTGTATGAGTTCTTTCACTTTGTCTACCACTTGTGTCGTGTCCACATGAAGCAGCTGCGCTAGTTCGCGCATGCAGCAATCGTCGTGGTCCGCTTGTGCTACTAAGTCTACCAAAGACACTGGGACCATTTTGTCTACGAGCGCGTCCACTGATAGCAGTCGTTCATAGATGAAGTTTAATTTGGAAAGTTCTCCCTCCAAAACCTTAAAATCTCGCTCGAAAAGAGTTTTCAGAATTTTTTCAATTTTTAGTGTAATGTCGTGAGGAACGCCTTCTTTTATGCGGCCTGACACGGTTTCGGGTAAGTCTCGCAAAGTTTGCACTTTATCTAACATAGTATCGCGAGACACCCGTACCTGGAGTGCACTTTTGTGCGCTATCTCCTTCACCGTGCCGACAAGCGTCTCCATAGACGCCTTCAACGAAGCTGGTGGCTCCGTGTCTGTCGGTTCAATCGCATCAACAGGCGGCTCTATTTCCGCCATTTCAGCGTCCTCCATAGGTTCATTCTGCTCAGTCATATCGCTTCTGAAAAATTATGTGGTTACTGTAAGGCTCAAATCCCCCTTGTTATTGCTAAGACGAGCGATACAGTACACCAGTCAAAACAACAGTTATGTCCGGTCAA